CATTTACTCATGAATCGTGAGGATATAGTTTCAAATTTCCCAGCGGTTTATCACATTTGGGGTAGTGGTAAACGCTGTTCATGAAATGCTTTCTCAAGTAGACATTTGATGTTGAGACCACCTCTGCTAAAATAAAAAGATAGTGAGTTCAAATTTCATCTTTTTCAAAAGGATATTATCACATCTTAGTGAATATTGAGAATATTTTTTTTATCTCATTTCTATTGATAACTGCCACTGCAAAGTGGAGCAATATTCAACACTATGTATATAGTCTAGATGAATTCAGTATAGTGTAGGATTCTACGATGTTGTGATTCTTACATGTTTAGTTCAAGTGATAAGAGACTGCTTAGTATTGTATGAGCAATTGTAAGGCAAGGCCCCTTTTGAGGGCTAGATTCAAAATGGTATAGTGAAGTCTCTGAAACTGTTTTTTCTCAAACTTTTTATAAAATATTAAATTGATTTTAAAATCATACATCTATTTTAAATATATGTCTGATCATCATTAAATTAATATTTTTTGAATTTTTTATCATTTTATTATCATTTCTACTATTTTGTAATTTGATACTTCTTCTCATTATGTCACAATCATTAATCAAAGACAAAGTGTTTTTTGAATCTCAAGACATTCAATATCAGATATAGTTCAATCAATATTATTCATCATTTAAAAATGAATTCTCTCAATAATCATTACACTCTTTCAATGATCTAGATAATGAATATAAGATTTCAAATAATGATTTAACAAATTTTGAGTTTATTGATACTTCTTCAGAATTTAAAATCATTGATATCAATACTTTATCAGTTTATTTACAATCAAATATTTGTGATTCTGTAATAGGAGCAACGGAGATATCTATATTAGGAAATAGATACGTGGCGATAGATACGTGGCGATGGCAATATTATCTATATAATGCTCGCTGATATCCGTGGATTTTAGGAGATCAGCGATTAGCTTTGAAAAATGGAGATTGCTTACTTTTAATATCCTTTATGTGTACTTCACACTACTCTTGTAATTACTCTTATAGCCCATCTCTTACATATATGATTGATTTAAAAATTGTTGAAAATTTCAAAAATTGTTGAAAGATTTCAGAAATTGTTGAAAGATTTCAGAAATTATTAAAAAATTTCAGAAGTTATTAAAAGATTTCAAAAGTTATTAAAAGATTTTAGATATTGTTAGAAATTAATATATTATATGAAATGATTAAAAGTTATATGAAGTTGACAGAAGTTGTTAGAAGTTGTTGAATATCATTAAAAAATATTAAAAATTATTAAAAAATACATTCAATGCTTTAATTAGAGCTACTGATGATCAGATATATGTTTTGATGATAAAATCAAGATATTGAATGATTAAACATGAAAATGATTGAAAAATTAGCAAATCATTTCTATATTCAAAATCAGAGTAACAGTTTTCAATACAATATTTCATACTCACAATATATGTATTTTTGAATAAAAATTAGTTCAATTGATAGAAAATTGGAAAATTAATCCTTCAAGAGGGTAGAAAAATCATCTATAAGTGAGGTTGTACAGTGATTCTATCTCAAACATTATGGTTGAAGCAAATCATTCCTGTGTTGCTAACAAACTAGAACTGTTTTTTCTCAGACACTCCGCGAAGAGTTTGCTGAGGATGTCCCATTTAGGTTTAGTGTATGCCTCTTGACAGTTGATTGGCTCAGATGTTAGCAGGACTTGGCAGTAGTTTGGATCGGGTTAGCTCGAAGTGGAGTGGCTGAGTTTTACTGAGATAAGGATCGATCACGTTCTCCTCAGATCCACGTCTTGAATACAGAAGCGATGCTGCCTCCAATACCAGATCCCACAGCACTGCTTTCACATGGGGTTGGAGCCTGTGAGCACATTTTTGGCCTCGCTTCGGCCTCGCTTCGGCCTCGACTTCTGACACGATGCAGCGTCCGCGATAATATGTAAGCCGTCATCGTGTCGTGGAAAACATCATGGATCTTTCGCCTCGTTTACACGGGGCATCGGACCTGGCTTCGAGGATGCAAACTCCTCTCGAGCAACTCTCCCCGTCCCTTGATAGTCTTGAGGAACGTCATATCCGGGCCGTTGTGATACTGCTATGGCCATACTCGTCTGCCACGAAGCAATTTAGCTTGCTCCTTTCGGAGCCAGATTTCCGACTCAGAGACAGAAAGGGCCAGGTCAGGGTCAGTTTCCGAGGTATGAGTGCGAAAGCGGTGGCAGAATCACAAGTTAGCATTGGGGATACTGTGATTTTGAGTCTTGACGGTGCACGGTTTCAGAATCATGACGCGGAAATTTGTACCCCAGGAAAGAATATTGATTGGGTTCTTGCATTTTCGAACGGGGTGCGGCTTGAGGTAATTCTATTTTAATCCATATAATTCCGAGCAGAGAATGCAAAAATTGGACATTTGTCAACTCATATATATCTTTAGGTATACCGCGATTCCGAGCTGTTTGCAACTGTCAAGGTTGAAGCTTCTCGGGACGATCACCCACATATTAATGGCACAATCCCAGCAACTCCCAATCGATCACCCTCAACACCACAAACAGAAACGAACGGACAACCTACTGGCTTGGGTACAGAAAATTGGGCTTCACCTGCATTTTCGCAGAAGTTCAGTAGGTCCTTTGGTTCCCTTCCAAATTCGGCAATCAATCCACTCGAAGAAGAGGATGGGTATATCTGGGGTAAGGGGAGGAAACGGACGAAATTCGGTAGGCCAAGCAGTGAATGGATTTTTGTCGATACGTCGCCCAGTCCCCCGCCGGCTGCTGCGGATGGATGGGAAGATGAAGCCCTTGAACTGGACGAGGACCAACAAGATGCTACAGTGGAGGGACATTTTTCCCAAGGCGATACCGTTCCCAATTCTCAAACGACTGTTCATATGGATGATAGAGTCCACGGAAATGAGGCTACGGAGATTTCGGAGCCACTGAAGCAGCTATTGCAATCCTCAAGTATGGACGATACCTTTACACACTCTCAAACCGAGTATCCGACCGCCATATCTTCTCAGAACTCAAGCCGGGATATTTCACATTCACAGCAACCGACCATAACACCTTTAACTTCGTTTGGCAATTCGTTTGAACAAGAACAACCAGTAGTCAATCTTGAGCGTGCTGCTACACCACCAGTGCCAAAATCAGCTCCTATGGTTCCTGTCGGCTCTTCTCTTGAAACGCTATTCTCAAATGCAAGTTACAATCTACCACGATCCAGCAGCCCAACGTCGAGCCTGTTTCATGGACACGACACTACCTCCTGCCAACTTGTTACACCAAACATAAGTGGTCAAACTGGCGATGAAGCAGGATTTCAAGATGAGGCTACAGTAACAACGCCTGGGGACGTACATCGTATGGCTGTTCCTTGTGCTGATAAAATCGACGGTCCCTTATCTTCAACACCTGTCTATGGCCTTAGTAAACAACGCCAGTTTGATCAGGAAACCTCCGAGCCTGAAAATGTGGTTGACGAATATCTAGTACGAAGAATGCGCTCGCGGCTTGAAGAAGACCCTGAAGGACATGAGGATGAGAAACATGCAGATATATTCGAAGAGGATGTAAGCGGAAAACTGGATGAAGATCTAGAGGAAGAGTTGATGGAGTTGGAGGAAGAAATGGAAGAGCGAATCGAGGAGGAGGCTGGGAATGAGGATGAAGAGCAGGAAGAAAACGAAAACTACGAGGAGCAGGAGCTAGCCGAAGAGGAACGGGACGAATACATGGAAATACACTCTGGCGATGAAATGGAAAGTGGCGCCTATGAATACTCACCACAACTCGAATCTGAAGAGGAGTATGAAAGTTCGCGGCTTGAGATGGATGAGGATGCCTTTCCACCGAGACCGACTTATCTTGCTGTTCCCCGTGCTACGCCAGAAATAATCGTTTTGGATAGTGATGACGAAAGTCAGGCCTCCGCTGGTATTACATCTGCTCCACAGCATGTGGATATCCACAGTCCGGATGTTCCATTGACATCAGGCGATATTAAACGGACAAACTTATCGCAACAGGACTTTACTACTGTTGGTTCCCAACCTCAGATTGGATTTGGTGAGAGTCCACGACTAGAAGCGGGAGATTCCGCGGCGGAAACAGAGATGCTTGTGCAAGATTTTACTCCCCAAAATCTTGGAAATGCCTCTAGGTTCGATGAGACTCCTCGGCAAGCAAAGATTGGTTACGTAGCTGAAACAGCACTTCACATTGAGACAAATTCTGTGGTGGTCAATGGTAAAGGCGAAGATACCGGCCATAAACCTGAAGACCTAAACGAGTACCGCCATGCAAGCCCTTCCTTCTCAGGTTTCATGTCTGATGAGGAACCAGAAACTAAGCTCGCTCTGACCAATGAAATTGCTATTGATCCTCAACTATACCTGCCTGGAACCCGGAGGAGCTCAGTGACTGATTCCGATCCCCGGAGTAGCGTTGATCACGGACTACCTCACGGCAAAGTTGCTGATGTTGATGGTACGAATGAGCCCAGGATTTCATTAGCACCGGATTCGGAAAGCCAACTTGTTACACCTATAAAAGCTGGGCAATATTCAGATATTCTGTCCTCGATTCCGTCGTCGGACTCTCATCCAACTGAAGATGAGCTCGTTGCTTTTCAACTATTTTGTGACATGGAGGAGCAAATTCGCGATACTAGCCCAGAAACGCCCGACCTGGTTAATGGGCCATCACTCCCCATTCCACACTCTCCTGAGAAGCAAGCACCAAGGATTCTAGAAAATGTTGGCATCGATAATACCACAAAGTATGATGCACAAAAGAAGGAGGAGATGGAGCATGCCGATGCAATTCGAAATGCTCCGATTGAATCACCTACCATATTTCAACCGAATACCAATGCTATTGGCCTTCGTAGCCGCCTATCGTATTTCTCTCCTTTGTCCACTCTCGCTGATAGTTTCAACAAGATGACAGATACCATATCCGTAGTTATCTCATGTTCGAAAATATCACGGTCGCGGAGTGGACCCCGGGAGTATTATACGACACTACATCTCACAGAACCTTCTATGTCTGGCATAACTGTATGTGCCCAAATCTTCCGACGCACGAAATCATCGCTCCCCATCGCAAAAAAAGGGGATGTAATCCTCCTTCGTGATTTTAAAGTTCAGAGCATGGACCACAAAATGATGCTTCTCAGCATGGCTTCTAGTGCGTGGGCCGTCTTCTCTAAGGGAGGCGATACGAATGTGCAGATGAATGGGCCTCCTGTTGAATTTGGCACAGAGGAGCGTGAATACATTGCTTCTCTACGGCAATGGTATCAGGACGAAGGGGAGCAGCTTGCGGCGAAATACGAGTACTTGGAAATGACACGCGGCAGTGCTGGGACAAGCATTTCTATCTCCAGTGCATCTAGTAGCAGCCCAAACGGAGGCAGGGGGAGCATTTTCAAGAAATTTGCGCGGTCGAAGAAGCCGAGACATCGTCGGATTACTATTCATGAATTGCGGGATGGGCAGCGGTATGCAGAGGTTGGTTCGCCGGCAGATAAGGAGACGATTCACGAGCTAAGGGATGGTACTGTTTATGCCAATTTGTGATGAAGCATTGATTTTCTTGCGTACATTTAGAGCGAATGTTTTTTCTTTGGGTATGAAGCTGGACCACGCCTGCTTTGCTCAACTTTGACAAAATATTTCATTATAATTCTGCATGACTTTGGAGTCATAAAATGGTTTACATTGGATTATTACTAGACTACAGGATGGATCATTATTCTTAGTAGGCATTTTCTTGACAAGATTTGCTGCTTTCCCTTTTTCTCCTTGCCCGCCAGGTCACATGATCGGCAGTAATGTTCCTAAAGCGGCTACTCTACTCCGTACCTTAGTTGGGTTCAAAAAGCGATAAATTATTATTTCTTCTCCTTCTTTCTTTTTTCCCCTTCAACGAGACCAACTCAAATCATCACCAGGTTAGCAACTTCCATGACCTTTCCGAGGTTTTTCTTTCAACTGCTCTGGCGATTCCGATGAGTGTGTCGAGATCGATCAAATCCCACTTCTAAAACCATCATCACGAGGGCTCCGCAAGGGGCTGCCATGATGCGGTGATGACCTGAAAGATGGGACAATCGTCGCATTGGGGGCTTGTAATATTATGTCTCAACTTTCTAGACGGATTTATATGTTGATAGTTTCTATTGGCGGAAGGTCGACATTGGACCAACCCGCTACTACCCGCCTCATCTGCCACCAGGGAGAGTTAGAATTTGCTCACTGTGAGTTTCCGACTTGTTTCCTTCCTTCCTTGCCCCAGAAGCATGTGTGCGTCGTTCTCCAGTAATGAGGATACTTGACAGCTCTGGTAATCCGAAGTACTCAACCGCGCAACTACACTCGGGCAAACATCTTATGTTATGATCGTAACATCGATTCCCGAGCCGCTGATTGAGTTTGAGGCAACACGGCAAAGTCTGACTTGATGTCCTGGAGAACACAATCATTACGGAATGGAATGGGCGGGAGTGACCCTCGTCCGATTTTTGGCACAGGCTAACATTTTCTCGGTGCTAGCTAGATTCGCTCGTTGTGCTCGCATGAAATAATGAAATTTTCCCAAGCCAAACGGAACTAACAATTCAAATTCCAAGCAACAGAACTTAAGATCCCTACGGCAAATTATACCTCCATATACTGAACATAAATACAACTTGCTGAGAAATAACGTTTCAATCTGCAGTAATTCAAATTTCATAATCATAACTGATAGTTTTTTTTTTTTTTTTTTTTTTTTTTTTGCCGGGATCTCCTTAAACTGGAGCTGTTTAAATAATCGAATTATTAATCAATCACCAAACTTGTGTTGGGGGTTTGGATTGGTTCGCCCCCTCTCTACCAGGTGTGAGAGAGCTCTTTTGCCTAGTGGCCTAACAACTTCGACCTTTTGTACACAACACAATCTCTGATGGTCAGTCGACGTCTCCCATAGTAGCTTTTAGATAACAATGCATGAGAAGGGTAATGGGTATTCCAAGCCAGAGCGCCGGTCGTTTTTGCCTAGTTAACGTAATCAACCACCTAGTTATACAAGCAGCGATTGAAGATTTGAACTTGCAGTTGGTTCCTAATCACACTACAACTGCAAAAAAATATAGAATCAGCTGATACACAAGTCAAGAAGATGAGTGCACGGTGTTATAACAACCTCCAAGTGTCAAGAAAGAAGAGCAATCGTCTATCCACTGCAAAAATCTTTCAAATTTGCCAGAAGAACAGCTCCTTTTTCATATCAATTGATTGACAGATCACAGTTTCCCTTGTACATCTCAAATCCTTCATAATCTCATTGTTGAGATTCTAAAAGTGTCTGTTGAAGTCAACTGAGTGACAAGATTCTATCAATGTCATAAGAATGTAATCAAGTCAATTTATCTGCTAAATATCAATCAAAAAACACAAAAATGCAGACAATTCAACATATTTCAAATATTATTTTGATTTTGTAATAGATTTATTACTACTACTATTTTTTTACTTATATTATAAAATTTAATGATTATTTTGCTGATCTTGTTTAATCTGACAGCTGCAGATAAAAATTGCACAATACAATATTGAATCTGACAATATTTATAACTTCAATGAAAAAAAAATTTCTATTAGAACTCATTTACACTTTCAAATATATTGTATTGATTACCACTCTCAAATTTGAATGTGTGATAAATGTCAGTCAGAATGGCAGTTGAGAATTTATTATATTATTTATTATAATTTATATTGATGAAACTGCTCTCTCATCTGCTCTCATATATTAAGAAGAATCAAGAAATATGCAAGATATTTGATTGAAAAATTTTGATAGTGAAAAAAATCAGATCTACTTTGCTGCTTCAGAAAATAAATGAAATAATGATGAATATGAATTAACATAATTAAAAAAGATCTTTAAATCTTTTACAAGAAAAAAAACCAGATGTGAATACAGACTTCTTATATTAAATAATCATTCATTTCATGTTAATATAACATTTATCAATTATGTGAAGTGAAATTAAATTCTACTTGCTATTCTATGTACCTCCCCACTCTACACACTGATTACAGTCATTAGATATTGAAATATTTGAATCATTGAGCAAATCATACTTCAGGCAATTGAATGAACAAATGAGAACTGAAATAGAATTTATATATATTATAAAAAGAACTTTTTGACAGCTATTCTATTTTGTATGATATGAGACATTTATATTTTCAAATATTGCATCTGCATTCATCACTGCTGGCCTACATTTATTTGATCTGAAATGGGTTTTTAAAAAGCTTGCAATATAGCCTTGCACCCTCTTAGATATGCAATATAAATCAAGAATATTTATTTTTATTGTTGATATATAAAAAATGATTAAACAAATCAAACAACAGCAATGTTGAATATTTAATGATTTCAATCAACTGATCTGTGTGGGTGAAAATCTTGCTCTTGATAAAGAGATTTTTATAATAAAGAACAGGTAGCTACAGTAAGCTCTTAATCAAGAAAGAAGATGTTGTAAATATGACAAAGTCTTGAAATTGCTAGATTCTTCAAATTCATTATTAACATAGTTCTTTTCACTGACAAAGATGCAGCACATCTATGAGTAAATGGCAGCTTTTGAAGGTGTCAAAAAAAATGAGCAGGCTTGTAAGAAGAATGCCAAATTGCAACACATTATTCTTAAGAAGCAGAAGAAGACAGATATCATGAAGTAGCAGATGCAATGAGATGCTGCTCATCAGGCAGTAAAGCAGTAAAAAGAGATGGATAAGGCTGCAAGAGCTGCTCAACAGCAGATTGAAAAGGAGTTAAAAGATGCAAGAAAAATTCAAAAGCAAAAAGAGAGAGAAGAATGAGCTGCTGTACAGCTGCAATCACAGTTGAATAAGGAAAAGATTGAAGAATTCAAAAATCACCTTTCTAATTGAGAAATCAGATTTTTGATTTTGCAAAGAGTGGCTAAATTGTATTTTCAGAGCTTTGCCAGTGTGCCTACAGATCCGCTGTCAGAGGGATTTGATAATATTGCAATCTCTACTGATTTGATGACTGCCTGTGTCAGAAGTGATATATCATATCTCAGATTCTACTGATTACATTAACAAGGATCTTCTATTGTGTGTCGGAACTAACAAAGTCCGAATATTGTCCCAATTACTGAATATCAATAAAAATAATTGAATTGCTTCTAACTCTGATAATTACATGACAATTAGGCAGTATTTATAAGAAAAGCCATGCTCAAATATACACAAGAGATAGCACTGAGAATCAGTGGGGCATTGCTTGATTTCATCAAGTAAGATGTTCCAGATTTCAAGTTGCTATAGAATCCTTGATAATCAAACTTACCAAGTTCTATAGAACTTACTAAGTGCTTGACATTGTGACAATATCGGAAACCGGATGGATGTTCTGATAAGATATCAGCACTGCCCCTATCATATGTTCAAGCATCTTCTTTCTTATAAATACTGCCTAGATATCATGTAATTACTGGAGTTAATAGAAGAAATTCAATTATTCTTTTGATATTCAGTATTTGGGTCAATATTCGGACTTTATCTAGTTCCGACAGCCTGCTTACTGAATCTGCCTCCACCCAAGATTTCATGTTCTGGGCGAGTTATTAAGCCAAACAAACGTCTACAAGATTAGCTATATATTTTTGTATGTAATTCTATGTATTTATTTTCATCATATAATATTTTATCTTAAAATTTAATTGCGTTGTTGAGATATCGTTGAGATGATTCCATCATAGTAGTGGCGAAATGGCGAGCGTTAGGTGGTTGATTAATTACGTTATGTTTCCATCCTTTCTATTGGCGCGGCATGCATCTTCCTAACCTTGTTTACCCTATTTCCATCAATTGCTTTTCCATGGAGGATCTTCCATGGCAAACCCGCATCTATTTCACCCGTTGACCGGATCCTACGAGCAGCACCTTTGATAGGTAAACCTTGTCAATGCATTGATTCATACACAGAATGGGATTGTGTTTTGCCGGTCAGGGTCAGCTAAGATGATGCCATGCAGATGGACACAACGACTTTCCATTCTTTATTCGAGCCTTTTACAAAAATGATATATATCAGAAAAACATGTCCGATGATATGGACCAGGCCAAGTGGACTTCCCACGTTTGCGAATGGGTGGGCTGCGAGGCCAGTTCTGGAGTGCTTATATTCCGTGGTAAGATATATATTGTTGCAGCTTGGCGACTACATCCAATAACTGACATCCAAGCCCTCTCTAGCCCCAAAAATTCCAATAACTTCTCAGGCAATGCTTACCCAGAGATTGTCCACGATACCATCCAACAAATAGACCTCGTCCACCGTCTTGCAAAGCAATTCCCACAACATATACGGTTCGTCTACTCCGCGGAAGATGTATGGAACAATTTCGCCAAGTCCGATGCGATATCCAGCTTCATTGGCGTTGAGGGCCTGCACCAAATTGGTAACAGCGCCAGCATCATGCGCATGTATCATCAACTTGGCGTTCGCTATGTGACCCTTACCCACAGCTGTCACAACAAATATGCCGACAGCGCAACCCCAGAATTACCGCTCCATAACGGTCTGTCACCAGCAGGAGAAGTCATGGTTCGCGAAATGAACAGGCTGGGGATGATCGTAGACCTGGCGCATGTGAGCAGTAATACAATGCGCCATGCGCTTAGGGTTTCTTCGGCGCCGGTGATTTACTCCCACTCATCAATACATGCTAAGTGTGCGCATCCGCGGAATGTGCCTGATGATGTGCTTTTGGCGTTGAAGCGGAATGGCGGTGTGGTTATGATTACTTTTTTCCCGGAGTATACACGCTGCGATGGCAAGGGAAACGCGTCCTTGTCGGATGTTGCGGACCATATTCAGTACGCGGGGGAATTGATCGGGTATGCACATCTTGGGCTTGGAGCGGATTTCGACGGAATGTTTAATACGGTGGAAGGACTAGAAGACGTGTCGAAGTATCCGGATCTTATTGCAGAGTTGCTGCGACGCGGGGTGTCTGAGAAGGATCTGATAGGGATTGTGGGGGCGAATGTCCTAAGGGTGTTGAAAGAGGTTGAGGTTGAAGCTAAGCGACTGGAAAATGTTAAGTCTTTGCAGGATAACATCATGAATCTGATTTAACGGGTTCTTGGTTATGTTTCCTGGAGCTGGAGGGTCTAAAAATGGGGACCAATCTTGAAAATCAACCTAGGACGGGAATTTTATCTGGTTGACATCTTAAAATATATATACATTATAACGTCTCACTACTTGCTAAACGGCATAGAATGACGCATGCGACAAGAGCCCGAGGCTGGAGGCGTATCTTTCCGTTGCTCCAATATTTGTCTAACTATACTATCATTATTACCCAGCCAACCCCTCTCACGTCGAACTCGAGACGTCTTGTTACATTGCATTTCATTCATGTTATGAAATATGGAGTGCCTTGTCACGAAAATGGCCGCAACGACGTGCATTAACGAATTCCAATTTACAACCTGATCCTCCCAGCCTTTAGCGCCTCCCACTGATCTATCTCGAAAGGAGTATACCTGCTCCCATCAGGCTGAAGCCAAAACAAACCGTCACTCGTGCCGTTTTCCTTGATCTTATCCAGGTCAATTCCCTGAGCCCTCAGCTTTCCCTTCCGCAACTTCATCGTCCCGGTTGTCTCAAAACCCGGTACAACACGCACGAAAATGGGGACTGCATATCGAGGCAACACGCCTATCACATACTTAGTCAATGCGCCAAAGTCGAACGAGTCAGCCGTCACGCCTTCCGCCAGCACTATGGCTGCACAGCCAGCCCGAGCGTCTGTATAAAGAACTTACACACCATATACGTTTGTTTCGTCGATGTTGTCAAATTTCCCAAGCACATCGCTGACTTCGTTCGTGCTCACATTTTCGCTCTTCCATCGGAATGTATCTCCCAGACGGTCCACGAAGTATAGACAACCATCCGGGTCTTAGCGCATCATATCCCCGGACCGAAACCACATATCTCCCTTTTGAAACACGCCGCGGATCTTCCGTTTCTGGCCCCTTTTTTTGAAGTATCCAACGAACGCGGCATCGGGTGCTGCGGGATCTATTTTGTAGAGTGTTTCGCCCGGCTCGCCATCTTCGCATGCAATGGCGAAACCCATCCTTACCCCTTTGGATTTCCTCAGTTACGACATCGATTTTCACCCGCTTTTCGTTGCTGCCATTCACCCATTTCCAATAAAGGCCACGTACGCCGATGGCCCCAAGTCCAAAGTCTCCTTTATTGGCGTTGAAACTTGATGATACCCCATCAGTGGCTGCGTATAGTTCGTTTATGGTTTCAATACCAAATCGCTCACGAAAAACACTCCAAACATCTGGCCGCATGCCATTTCCTCATGCAATTTTCACGTTGTGTTTTTTATCCAGGGGCGAATGCGGTGTATTAACGAGATACCAGCACAGTTCACCAACGTACTAAATAATCTCCGCCTGCGATTCACAAACCTCTGGCCAGAAGGTCTTGTGGCTAAACTTCCGGCTGAGAACCACAGTTGAACCGGCGAATATTGATGGATTGATGCAAAGTCCGTGAGCTGCGCCGTGGTAAAGTGGTAAACACGTATACATCTACTTGCCAGGTTTAAGGTCAAGGTATTTACACACTGCCCTAGCCGTGGTGAGTTCTCTCCGTCGAATCAAATTAGTGGCCTTGGGTAAACCGGTTGTACCTAAACATCAACGATCAGTCGACGGAATTGAATGATCATGTGGGTTACCTAGGCCCTACTCGAGGTGTATATCAATGCCGCTAGATCCTCTGTTCCAATGCCCGCGCGTCTTGAATCTGGGGTGGGTATTTTATCTTTGAACGAACTCATCAATTCCGAATCATAATATATCGTCTGAGTATTCGCCTCTTTCAACTCTTCCTCGCAAACCTGGACCAAATGTTCAGTTCCTCGATCAGCCAGCAAATACCTTGCACCGCACAACTTCACACAGTGCACCAGCGGTGCGGCTGTAAGGTTACAATTGATAAATGACAGACAAGCAGCTATAGACTCCAGCCCAAACCACAGAAGGAGATATTCAGGCGAATTCCCACCGTCCAGAGCAACAAGCTCGCCCCGCTCAACTCCTAAATCCTTCACTAACCAGTCTCCCACCCCGTGTACGTCCTCGAAAAACTGCTTGTAGCTCCAGGAGCGGCCTTCGAAGATAACGAATATGTTGTCCTGATTCTTCCCTCGCGCATGAGCCTCAAGGACATGGTACATGAGAGTTTTGTCCTGTTTCCAGCACTCTGTGAGAAATTGCACAGCATCTTTTGCTTGGGCGGCAATTGACCCTCCAGAGAGGTCATGTCGGAGTAGGTATTTGGCATCGAGATAAGCGGCTGCGGCCAGCGTTCCGGCTACGGAAGCGGCGAATTTTGTTACTACGTTGGAGCACCCGTTCCGTGAGCACAGGATTAGAAAAATCATATATGAATATTAGCTTACAAGGCATGATAAACTTTGTTTACGTCATTACAGTTGTTTGCACGATTGTGAGTCTCAAAAGTTAGAAGACACCGCTTAACAAGACAGGCTGGAGGCAGCGAAGTAAGTGTAAGTCTCTGGCTGGCAATTGCTTCTTCGGCTACCCTTTCAGCGAAAACAAGAGGAGCTATAAAGTCGGGTATGTTAAAACGAAATAATTCTCTACTTCCCTCCTTGCTCCAACTCCTTATATTCATTTAGATGGAACATCTTGAGTGGTAGCTCGGCTGAATGGCTTACCATCCCAAGGCCAAACAAAGGCCAAACGGTTACAATCACTCTAGACCGATACATTGGTCTAACAATATGAACATAACTTTGTCAGTGATGGCAGCTTGGTCGAGCTCAAGGTCCTCTCATCCATCGCCATTTACCGAGGCAAATGAAAGGGGAAGCTTTGGGGCAATTATCTGTACTCCTATAGCTAAAGGTTGTACAAACAAAAAACGCCTCCTCAGTGATGAGGTTCTCGACCATCCCCGTATGCTTTTGTCTGCACCTTACTAGTCACCAATTTCCAAGGCTCGTTTGTTGCTAGTGAGCGGATACCGCTTCTAAGATTATGGAGTTGTTCGTTAATCTGGCTCGGCGGAGGAGTGAGGGGAAATAATGAATAAATGTAAGCCGAGGAATATGTCTTCTCCTGGAGCGGAGAATGTATCCACTTCTATTGGAAAGGCAAAGCACTTTCTTATTGCTGAGTAGGTATTATTGCTTTGGTATTTCGAACTCCGGGGATAGTAGATGTATTTGAGAGGCTCGACGCCCTCGCCATATCAGAGTATGTTTTAGGGGGACAAGGTTCCCGTATTCAAAATGCATAGTGTCATCACATGGAAAGTATGGGTTTCTTTACGGAAAACAAATTCCCAAATTCATGACCAAACCTCAACACCATCAAGTAGTTCCCTGCTTGATACACATCATTCTTCCCCGTTGATCATATTTGCTGGGACTCTGATAACTGTGGGCCTCAAAAGAGCAACCTCTCCAAGGGACGGAAAGCTTGCCGAAATAGATATTGTGAGACCTGCAGGTCTTAGCTTAGACTGACAATCGCCAGTCTCCTGTAGCCTCCTTGCAAGGTTGTTATCGTTCTACTGCGAAAAGAGGAAATGTCATCTGTCACCATCTATATATATATTTCCTTTTTGCTATTCTTTTTTCTCTTTTCTTCGGCTCAAGGAGTGTAGGAAGTCTAACGCGGGATGGTTTCGGATTGGATTCCGCTACAGCCTCGCATAGTTACAAGGGGCGCAATTAGTAATCACAGGAGGACTTTACTGTGTTCGCAGGACCCTAATACAATGGGATAGACCTGATTTATACAAGTTAACCGCCCCAAAATTTGGGTTGTGAATGTCACCACGCCATCATTTTCTCTGTTTGAATTCTAATCGATTAAAAAAAAGTATATATCTTTGATCTATCATGGCCAAGCTCAAGTTTTGGTTTATGCCTGGCAGCTGCTCTCTAGCTCCGCACATCCTCTTGCGCGAGCTAGGTTTAGACGTGGAAACCATCCATGTCACAGACCTGTCCCCAAGCGGTTTGGGAGCCATTAATCCCAAGCGGCGTGTCCCTGTCCTCTCCATTGACGGTGAGATCATCACAGAAGTGCCGGCAATCCTGACCGCGTTCGCTCAGCTCGGATCTCCAGATCGTAAGCTACTCGGCAAAACACACATCGAAACCACCAGAGTGTACTAGTGGATGAATTGGCTCTCTGGCCAGTTGCACGGAATTGGATATGGTGGGCCCTGGAGGCCTGAACGATATTCGGATAATTCCAATGCGTTGGAGAGCATTAAGGTAAAGGGAAAATTGAATATAATAGCTGCCTGTGAGTTAACCGAGAGTAGGATAGAGCGGTTGCATGCGATTGGAGATTCATTTACGGTTGTGGATCTGTATTTGTTAGTTTTCTATCGGTGGGGAATAGCTATTGAGCTGGAGATTGAGAAGGATTTCCCGAAATATACAACTTTGATCGCAAATTTGGTGAAGAGAGACGCCGTTGTTGAGACGTTGGAGGAGGTGAAGTTGCCTCCACTGTTTGCGCCGAAGGTCTGAGGGCAGGTAGTTTTCATTGCATAATTTCTTCCTCCCCCCCCTACCCCCCTCGGTTTGGTTGTTTTTTTTTTTTTTTTTCTTC